AACGTATAACATCTATTTATTTAGATATAATATATCTATTAACCGTAACTATCTCGTTATAATTTTCAATATTTATTTTATATTATTTACTACTGTTAAATTCTATTCCGCTTAGATTTCCAAATTGCTTCAAATACGAAAGAATCGACGATTTTTCGTGTCTTTTGCCAGCTAAATTGTCAAAGCCATTCTTATTCCCCACACTAATTTCATTTGAAAATAGTAGGCCAGCCAACAAAACAATTTTTGCATTTTTAAATTTAGTGATGTAACGAATATTCGGTTACTATTCGGTATTCGGCCTATTTTTCACTATTCGGCCGAATACCGAATACCTAAAAAACAGGAGTAAGAAATAACAAAAACATTGTAAATTAATCATTTTGGTATTTAGATTTAATGTTATTGGGTTAGTGTTGTTTGTTTATATTTATTTATAACTTATAACATGCACAAAATAAAAAAGAACATAATATTAGTCACTTGTATTCACAATTTATAATTATAAAGATCAGCACACGTACACACCTATTCGTTCGAGAATCGTCGCACATTTGAGGATCTGACCCTGCCTATCCTTCTTTTTAAGCGCTCGTCTTTGCTCTTCCCTTTCTCTTTTTTTCTATCGCTCTAGTCCACGTATGCCTATACATACATCATAATACGCCCTCACGATACTTTCGATTCGTCACTTTTCCGTCGTAGATTCCCCATTTTTCAATTACGACTTATAGCCTGGTGATAACGGAGAAAAGAGACAGATAGGACGTCGGTATAAGTCACAGTTATGATTTCACATATTCGAAACAGCTTGGTAGCCCGAACGACTCCAGGCTTTCGCCTGTGCACGCTAAGTGACTTTCATTACAAGCATTTAGCTTTCCGAAGTCTATGACAACAATTGTTTGGCATTCACGGCCGCGAATTTCGGGCCAATAAGCTGCCTCGATTTGTTCGATTGTTATCAACTCAATTTCATACAGTATTTATTTTCACATTTTCACTTTGCGGTTCTTCTCTGTTCTTCCGTTATTTATACATGTAGGTCATTTCATTGTTATCCACATTTGATATCACTTATTACATGCTGCCATGACGCTCTTGTCTGAACTGTCAAGAATTAACGCGATTGGCGAAGAGTAGTGATAGTGGGCCAATAGAGAGCAGGGTCCTTGCCATAATGCGGTTTGCGCGCCAATTTTCGTACGTGCGTTAATCAAGCCGAATAGTTTGGCCGAATATTCGGCTATTCGGCCACGCTCCTGGCCGAATATTCGGTATTCGGCCTGAGGCCGAATATACTGTAGTACCGTAGGGTACCGAAATACGTTAGCGTGGAGATTAAGAATAGAAAAGACAGTACAAATTAACAAGACACTGAACAGATTTAATTTCACGAAGATAAACATCTGAGGTTCACACACGATTTTTGTTTCGCGATGGGGCTCTCGTCACCCCTTTGGTCCGGACACAAGAATACGACGGAGTGATCCAATATAAAATCCCCGACGCGACAATTAGGAATCGCTGCAATCACACATAAATTGCCCGACGCGACAATTAGACTTAGTTTTTAATAACTCGATAATTGGACTATTCTTACGTGGAGGCTGATCTTGATACCCGCTGAATGTCTCTCTTTTAGTACGCAATTGTCCTCCTTTCACGTGGTTCTTTCTTCTTTGTTCTTCACCTTCCTTCCTCTGCCAACCCGACACGAACCCAGGTGAACCAAAGAAAAGTCCTCTATGCACGTGGTCTTTCCTTTTTATAACCCGCGCCATGTCCTGACGATGGGACATACGTCATGGCAGGGAACCAATCACGGGCTCGCACTACCACACCTCAAGAAGTGGTACGAACCTTACGGAAACAGTCTACAATTACCAATGCGCGACAAAATACAGAATATAGATACATATATATTTAATGATGACATACAAACATTTAGTGAAAAACACTACAATATGATTCGTTGCAAAACTAGTGTGTAGCAATCATTTATGTTATATAAACTTTTGTATTTGTATTGTGTAGCAACGCTTCGTATCATATAACCATTGTATTATTTTTTATAATAAATAAACGGCCATGACGTGGCGTCTTTTATCAAGCCCGCCACTTTTTGGTTCGGTATGACTTGAAACGGATCAAAGTAGTCGTGTATGATTTTTTAAACTTATTTGTAAGGTTTACTCACTATCTGTGAACACATAACTTGCAACAGTGATATATTCAACAACGTGATTATCCGTTACATTCGACTCATCTATGTAACAACTCGCTGGCCACTTTCGTCACATCGTTCGCTCCAGTAGACAATCCACAACTTCACAAGCATGGAGACGACCTTGCTTGCAGCGTTGCCAGATGTTTTTTGCCCTTGTAGCCAAATCATTTTTAAAAAGTAGCCCAAAAGTAGCCAACTGCTCGAGCAGTTGGCTACTTTTGGGCTACTTTTGTACCAGATGTTGTTTTACCTAGTACTTTTGCACTAATCTAGTGCCTTTTTACTTGTCCCAGTACCAAGATACCCAACACCATTTTCCTAGTACCATTCATGAAATCCTAATACCTTTCCTTTCAAAACATTCATTTTTTTCTATATTTCTATATTTTTTTACTTTACTTTGACAGTAAATAGATGTTTTTATTGCTTCCTCATTCAAATGCAGCAGTTGAACGTATTTTTTTGCAATTGAATTTAATGAAAACTAAACTACAAAATCGAGTTCTTACAGTACAGCGATAAATGTTAAACTTGGAAATCATCATCTGCTTCAACCATACAAAAACATTCTAGTGAAAAAGATTCTGATGAAGATGATGATCTTACCAGTGATTTTTCAACGTGATAATTTTAAATTTTAGTACTTCATGTTCATTACTTTTGTTTCAACATTTTGCTCATTTGATTGTTGTTGAGGAATAATAGCATTCTTGTAATATATGAAGTTTGTATGTTACACGTAACACTATATAAGAAGACATTTACAAGAAGCTGACATTGGCAAAAAGTTGCAATTAGCGTAACGTTATTTGTTACTAATTTTATCAAAAACAATTAAAATTTATAAAAATTAGGCCCTAGTAACCATGTTTGGTACCATTCCGTATAGCATAGCATTTGCCATTAGTCATTTTTGTTTATAGATGCATTTTCTTTTCTTATTTCTTTCTTTCTAGGATATCATTTATCTGGAATTTATAGTAAATTTTCTTTAAAAAATAAGTTATTGTAAACTAAAAAGTCTCCTGTCAAGCATGACTGAATACTTACTGGAGCTATCTTTTTAAAAAGTTTAAATTTAATTAAGTAAATTTAAAATTACGCCATTTGCCAAAATATTTAAAAATGCAACTTAATGAGGAAAATTTTCCCAAAGTATTCTCGGTCCTTTCGGAAAGAATGGCTTCAAGATAAAAATCTTAAAGGTAAGCAAGCACCTTTAAGATTTTTATCTTGAGGCCATTCTTTCCGAAAGGACCGAGAATACTTTGTCCATCTTCCATTTTAATACCAATAATAATAAATTATAAAACTTATATAAATTATACTATGTTTAAAAACAAAACGAGTAGACAGCACAACAAATATTACCGTTCTGTGCGCAAAACAAAGGATGAAATAATTTGTGTAACCAGCCCAAAATGTAGCCAAGTCAAATTTTTGTAGCCAAAAAAGTAGCCAGTGCGCCAAATACTTTTTTTAACGCCAAACTAAAAAATAAGTAGCCCAATTTGGCGCAAAGTAGCCAAATCTGGCAACGCTGCTTGCTTGTCTACTGGAGTGAACGACGGATGGAAAACGGAAGCAAAGTATCTTTATCTTTGTTAAACTTTGCAACTTTATATTTTTACAATTAAGTGTAATGAAATTAAATGTATTACCGTCGGCCACATTTTTATATTTTTTATTTTACTTAAAGTTTTGTTTGTTCAATATTTCTATTTGCAATGAACGATAGATTTACTAAAACGTAACATGTTCGATACTCGTTTAATTCTTTAGTACTTTTTAGTACTAAAACAAGAATTAAACGAGTATCGAACTTGTTACGTTTTAATAACTTTAGATCTGGCAACGCTAGACATTTGTTGAGTTCGCACCGTTACTACCAATTTTTAGTTGACTTTGATACATGAATGGCACATTATCCTGTTGGAATTGACAATTTTCTCTCCCAATAAGTGATCCAAAAGTTATTAAATTTTGATACAACAGTTCTTGATACAATGGAAACAGGGGGCCTTAAAACTGAAAACAAAAGCCGCAGTCGCTAAGTCTCTAAGTTCAAAAAATGAATTGCCTCGCCTGCGAATGACTCGCTTTGATTTAGAGAAAATTAATGCAGATACACCGAACTTTTACTAATGAAATAAGTATATGTATATATACATTACAAACTTATGTATATGTATGTAATGTAATGAAATAAGTTTGTAATGTAATGTATATGTATATATACATTACATTACAAACTTATTTCATTCATGTATATGTATATATACATTACAAACTTATTTTATTAGTAAAAGTGCATAGTTGCAAAATAATTCATTTTTATTGTTTGGCTACAAACAGTTCAAATCCGCTACTTTTGGAGCACAGCCACGCTACTTTTTAACCTTCAGATCTGGCAACGCTGAAGGAGCGTTGAAATCTCGCCGCTTTTTGTTTTCAGTTCAGTCATGTTATCACTCGGTGTTCAAAGTGTGTGATTGAAATTTTTATTTTAATTAATTTTACTTGCATGATTAAAGTGTTCTTAAACATAAATTAATTAATAAATTAGTGACTAGTTTTACGCAGTTTTTCGTCATTTGAGTAATTATCGGTGTCATATTTAACTATTCTAATGTTAGGCTTATCGAGGAACACGATATATGCAGTTGCTGGAGTATGTGGAACTCTCTTTATTGGTTACTGCATCTATTTTGACCACAAGAGACGTAGCGATCCGCTCTTCAAACAGAAATTGAGAGAAAGTAAGTTATTTGAATAGAAAGAGTTAATTTAGAATAAAAAATTGGAATTTAATGTCTATTAAAAGTTACTTGTAGTCTGGACTACGTAAATTTCCCAACAATAACTACAAAACTGAAATACAAAATTTCTTCATATACCACAATTATAATGGTAAATTCAATAAAACAAAATTCTTTTGGCCAAGTACTACTGACTAACAATTCATTGAACCCGACACTGGATTGTTTGCGAAAATTTTCATATTACACTTTGTATAAAATGATAGAGGAATTTCAGAAATTTGGAACTCCTCAATATGTCTTGAATGGGTTGTCGGAGATGAAAAAAAAACAGTTTATTACATATCTGCAGACCTATCTCTATCTATCGACATCTAGTTTGTCAAATCCACTCTGAAATTTAGCAGAAGCTCAGCTAACAAAAATGTTAGTGTAATATAAACATTATATTAGATCCTATGATTAGATCCATCAGAAAATGTCTTCAGATTGTACTGGGGCTTTAGGAAAATTGATTTTAAAAATAAAAAGTTAAAAAATTTGTTTTATTTGCTTCTTATTGTATTTATAATTGTTGACGTCATATTAATGAGCTTTTTAAAATACAGGTGTATTCCAGGTTACGACCATTTCATGATAAAACAAATCGCAGATATGACTGTCATATGATTTTTACCCTAACATGATCCAACTTGGCTATCCCACTAATATGATTTTTGGCTGTTCCGAGTGTTACAGTCTGTTTGTTTTTTGCATCATGTGTCCAGGCATCCAGGTGAAGACCAAAAATGTCTGGGGTTTAAGAAAATTTGGAAAATTGTCAATAATTAATTATTTTTTAATGATATAGCTGATTTTATACCCAATGAATAGAAACTGTGATGATTTAATTAGCAAGCCATTTATAACATTCCACAGTAGGGGTAGGATAGTCTTGAGGATAGCCTTTATTTAAGGAACTGATTTTTTTAACAAAAACCAATTTAAACTCAGCTGTTCTATCTTTTAAGAAATCCTTGAACAAGTAGAAAATATTTTGTGTTACTTTGGTCTCTGATAAATTTTAAAATTGACAATCACCATGCATTGTCAAATGCCCCTCTGATATCTAGATATATTAAGATATATTAATCTTTTCTTTTCCTTGCTGTATAGTATCACACAATTTAATAAGGGCATCTTCTACAAAACACTGGGGCGTGAAACCATATTGGTCATTGCTCAAAAACTTTCCATGAGGTGAGGTGACCTCACCTCATGGAACTTTCTTTAAATATAAAAAAAAAATATATGGGAAATGGTAGTTCATGATACAATGACTATTTGATGGAATGTATTATTTACATAACCTAGGGTAGTCTGTATTTATAAAGCTAATGTCATTTAACTGTATTATGGATAATAATAGTTAAACATTATTATTATTTTTCTAATTTAGAAAGAGCTAAATCAAGACAGCAGAAAGAACAAAGAGGAAAAAGTACCAGTAAAGTATGTTGTATCTTATTTAATTTTAAACAAATTTTTGTATATATTTCTTAATATAATATAAATTTTTCAAACAATTTAAATCTATAATTATATTTTATGAATTGATGATATTTATTTTCTGTGCCTTAATAACTTTGTCAAGCATTTCTTATTGGTCAAATGTTTGTTTCTATGGCAACTGTATTTAAATTCAAATTTTTCTTAGAAAGATCTGTTAAACTTATAATAAATTTTTCAATTCACTTATATTCAAGAAAATAAATTACTTCTGATGCTGTAGCTCTGATTAAAATTGACTGATTTCATTTCTTCTTTTATCTTAATGTTCAATATAGAAGCTTATTAGAGAGGTTGCAACTGATGTTTTCAACACAAAAATGTGTACATTGGACGTTCAGCGCTGCCTTCCTGTAATCCTAGAAGTTTGACAATGGCGTTTGAAACGTCAGTGGAATCATGTTTGACATTCCAAACGCCATTGTCAAACTTCTAGGATTACAGGAAGATGGCTCTGAAAGTCCGATGTACACGTTTTCACATTGAAAACTTTGGCTGCAACCTCTCTATTAATTGAAAACTTTCTATTCCATGTTTCTGCTTAAGTGATTTCTTAATTTATTTGATTATGTTTTTCAAAGTTGTTATTGTATGTTTGTTAACTTGTGACACTACATGAACCATCAAATTTTAATAGATTTTTCTGAGAAAAATTATAATTTGTATGTGGTTTCAGTAGAAATGTGCTTTCTAACAATGAAAAGCATGCAATTCTAGTTTTTGTCATTATTGTTCAGTAAAGTCCATAAATTTTTTACAAAAACTTAATTAATAATGAACAAACAATTATTTTTTTATTATTTGATATATCTTAATGCAATGTATTGCATTTTGCAGTGTACTTTAGTTAATTTTAAACTGGGGTATAACATTGGAAGTAGTCAAATTTCTTAAATATAAGTGGAATAGAAACCCAAAAATTATTGTAAAACTATCTCAAACAATGCATTGACAAAATTCAGTTGAAAGTAATACATGATATTTTCCTCTTCAAGTTAACTTATGAATTTTGAGAGATGGTGTATGCCCAAATTTAGACATTGAAAAAATTGGGAAAGTTAGGATTACATTACTGAAATAAGGAAAAGATTGGGAGAATGAAACAAATTAATAAAAGATGACATAGTTTATGAAAAATCCTGTGATAAAATAAATTTTATAGTTCAATGTAGCTTACATAGTTTTAAGTAAAATTCATTTATTCACATCTCTTCCTGTCATTTTAGATTGGTTACCACTAAATACAGTTGAACCTATCAATCTCGAATCTCATGGGAATGAGAAAAAAAAAATTAGCAATGAAAGCTGCATTACTTTTCTGGCTGTCATAAGTTTTAAAAATCATGTATGTTAAAAAAAATTTTATCATTATATGAACTAGCCAGTTAAATATTCAGTTTAATCAGAATATGATTTACCAATTAGTTTGCTATCATGGTCATTAGAATTTTGAATTGCATTCATACTGACTAAAATCTTTAAATATTTTTATAAATGCTATTCATCTCTTCTTTCTTAACTTTACAAAATTAATTTATGAAAGGAATAATGATTTTCAAAATTTGAGAAATAAATTTATTTAAAATTCAGATCAGATATTTTTTATTTTAAATCAGTTTATAATTTTTACATATTACTTTTCAAATATCTCACTGAATACAATATTTTTAATAGAAAACTTATTTCCATCCATTTTTATGAATATTCTAATATTTTTAAAAGATTTCACTGTGGACAGAACTAATTCACAATGTGTGTTTACACATTGTCATATCTGCATAATAATAGCTTATTTAATCAATATTTTTCTCATATATAAATATGGTTTAAATATCATAATTGAGTAAAAGCTTTATATTCATTAAAGACATAAATGGGCATATCCAGGGATGCTTATGATGCTGCAGTGACTCTTGGTACCAAATTAATCAGTTTTGTTACTTAAAAATAAATATAATAATACCTACAGCATAATTTCGATTAGATAATATTAGATAACTTAAGTAATTCTAGGATAACTGTGTCACATTCTAGGAAAAAAAAAATAGAATAAGTGTCTTGGTTTTCCCAAATTTGCCTTGAGCAGCATCCATAATCTCAAAATTTGGAATAAGCTTCTGCTTATAAATTACATCCATTTATTTTTTTTATTGTTTTTGGAATTTTAATTGCTTCAAAAATTGAAGGGGAAATATACTGCCATCTATTTATTGATATAAATGGAGTTTATTTTTGATGTATTGTTCAAGTGTAAGTATATTCAATTTTCATTTATTTTATATAGTTGACGTGAAAACTGTATATTAGTTATTAATTATAAAATAAATTTTAGTTTCCAGATTTGAAAGATTATGAAGGTGTGCAAAAATTTTTTATACAAGAAATTCAAATGGGAGAAGAGCTACTTACACAAGGTATAAATTAATATTTTTAGAATAAATATTATAATCTGTATTTCAAAATTTTTTAAATATATCAAAGCATTAGAATTGGAAATTCTGGCAATATATTTATCATCTAACGTTTTCAGTAGTAGAAATTCATATGTTTGATACTAGAATATAGTCCAAATGGCATTTGTCATAAATGTGTGACAGTGAAATAGTATACTTGAATTAATATATTCTACTATGCTGATTTATTTAAAAATGATTAGATTATAAAAGCTATCTACCATACACAGTAAATAACTATCTGACTACTTAGTTATTAGCATTATTATAGCTTGATAGATAATCTGGTAGATCCAACAGATAGATAATTATTTTGAAATATCTATCTACTATTTATTTTTTTCACTGGATAGTAATTAACATTAAAATTAAAATTCCAATATTTTTCATTGTTTTTAAAGGGAATTTTTAAAATTTTGGCAACCAAGGAGCAGCCTATAAAGAAATGTTGGTTATCAAAAGCTGTACTCTGGAACAGTGAAAGTGAATGAATAGTGACTGACAGTCTGTTTGAAGACAGTCTGTTGAAAACAGAGTATCATTAATTTACTTTCAGTGTTCCAGAATACAATTTTTCAATGATTGACCTCTCTTTGTGGGCCATCAAAATTAAAACTTACTTGTAAAATTAATAAAAAAATATCCAATTAAAAACAAAAGTTTTTTAAAATTAGGACTGGTAATGCCATAGATGTCTTCTATCATCTTCCATCATTACCACATGGGAGACTATAGAGCTTTATATCTACTAGAAATAAGCACTGGTAAATGTAGATTTTCAGCTGCTCTGGTGACAAATCTTTGTAGAATAACTTCACTCAAAATTGAAGTTATTCTACAATGTTATTCTGTCTTAAAAAATTTGATTTTTTTGACCTGTACATATCCATTCCCAATCCAGTAGAGTAGTAGTCTGACAGCTTAACTGGTCAACTATCTGATGATCTTTTCCACTCATTAGACTTTTCATCTTGCATAATGCAACTATAAAGTAAAATTTATTTAAATTAAAATAAAACATAAGGTATAGGCCTATATTAAGTAAACAGGGAATGATATCAAAACATTAAAAAAACTGTAAAGTATAAAAATTAGGCAAATTTTATTAATGATGATAAATAATACAATACAAATATTTAATGGAAACAATTAAAACTCCCACTTTCCAATTACAACACTTATAATAGGCAGATAAAGAGGCATCATACAACTAATGCCATAGAATTACATAGTTAGTGGCACTTCACCTGGAAACTGTATATATATTTCTTGAATTTTGAGTTCCATTTTCAATGTTAAATTTGTAATTCATTTCCAGACTTCATGTATTACTGCTGGTTTAAAAAATTTTCAGGAAAATAAATGTACTGTGCAATAGTATAATCAGCAAATATAGTGCTGAAAAAGTCATTTTATTTAAGCCAAATGAAAAAATAAACAAAACAGTAATATAACTTATGACAGACCTTATGACTTTATGAATTAGTTTGTACAGTGATCTTTTATCATTCTGTCTGCTTAAACATCCAGTTTGCACAGGTGCCAACTCCAGAAATTTTAAAATAATTTTTTGAATTTATTAAATTACTTAATATGTCAAATTATTCATAATAATCTTACTTTTCCAAAAGTAAAAAACTTTAATTAAATTTATTTTTTACCAAAAATAAATTTTCAAGGATAAAATGTATAAAGCCATATAATTTGCAATTATTTTATGTAAAAATTGCATTAATTTGAAAAAAAAATTTGAATCCTGACACAAAATGTACATATATTTTTGTTTATCTTTAGCTTATTTAGGTTGCTATAGTTACAATCTGAAATGCTTATTTGAAGATGTAATCCTACAAATAATTTTTAATGATACAAAACAAATTATTGAAATGTGTTTTTAACCCTTGAAAATGGATTGTTAAAGATTTGAAAATGATTTCTTTATCAGAGTTTATTTTAAATAATAATTCAAAGTATAGTTGTTATATAGTTAAAAATCATACTTTTCATTTTCTGTTTTCATGTATAGTTAGTAGTAATAATTATGTTAAAGTATGTTAAAATTGTGTTAAGAATAATTAATAATATATTCTACTATGTATATTATATTATATTCATTTTTAGAAGAGACCATCAAATTTTACAGCATAAAAATTTTTATGATTTCTAGAATATAACACAACTAATAGCAATAATGTTTATAGCTGATTTTGGCAATTTTTGGTAAAGTTTTGTGATAGAAATGTTATTTACCAAAATTATGGAATTTTCATTAATATTCATTTTAATTTTATATAATTGTTGATTGATTAGTATTTTAATTATTTAAATTCTTTCTTCCGTGAGCACTAAGAGGGCTTCTTTTAGCAAGCCCATTGTGGATTCAGTCAGGCCGGGTGGTGAGGAATGTGGCACAACATATACAGACAAACCACCATCTGAAAAATTCTTAGACTATTTTGACCCATCTGGATTCAATCCCTGGTCTTCCAAAGTGCCACCTTGACTGCTGTCATCTGGCTATCATTGATTAATATTATGTATAATTTATATGAATTTTATCCATTCAGGTAAATTGCATAACATGATGGGAATCTTATTCAGCCTTTCTGTTACAGATGTCAATTATTATTTTTAAACAAAAACAATTTTTAATAAAAAAATAATGTGTTCAATGAATTCATAAATGATAAGGAACATTTCTACAATGACAAAATTGTTGAAACAATCAATCAAATATTGGTGCTTGACATGAATAGATAACACTGAAAAATTATATTGTAGAAAAATGTGTATAGTCTAAACATTATTGTATTAAACATTTATGTTTAATCCAATAATGAATATTACATATCTTTACAAAGGCAGTGTTTCCTCTGCAACAACTGTAACAAAATTCTCAAATTAATAAAATATCAACCACCTAAATACAGGTAACCCCCATATAACACGGTAGTTACGTTCCAAAAAATTGCCGTGTTATGCGAATCCGTGTTATACGAAACAAAGAACTAATACGAAAAGGAGGGTTAGGTTCCAAAAATTAAAAAACATGCTAGTATATTTTCATAATTAAGATAAATATCTTCATTAAAATTTTTTAAGTGATACATATTAATATAAATTAAACAATGTTTTCTTCGTCATCACTAAAAACACTATTAATTAACCGAGAGCGTTTTCTTTTTGGCAAGTTATCCTTATCCTCTGAGCATTTTTCTGCATTATCTTCAGATCCATGCTTTACCTTTTGCAAAATGTATGTAATTTTAGATTGCTTGCTTCTAGTTAAAAGGTCTTTATAAATTTCCTTATATGGTGCTAAGCACTTATGAAGAATAAAGCAAGTATGGAATAAGGGAAAAACATTCGGCAACATCAGAAGCAGAAGCGTCGCGATCTGGCAACATTGAAACAAGTTTCGAGAAGGACCACGTGTATCGACAGAAGGCGAGAAGAGAAAATTTACATACTTAAGTACTAATAGTTCACGAAAATTATTATTTTCGTGAACTATTATTACTTAAGTATGTAAAAATTTATTACATTTCCTGTTGTACGAGGGTTTTACCCAATTCTTGAACCATGTCAGAGTAAATCCGTGCTATAAAAGTACCATGTTATACGGGGGATGGTACCAATTCTCGAACCGTGTTAGAGTGAATCCGTGCTATAGAAGTGTTGTGTTATACAGGGGTTACCTGTACAGTCGACCCCCTATAACACTGTTGATTTTTCCGTTTTATATGAATTCCATGTTGTACGAGTCACTTAGATTTTACAAATACGTGAGCCGTTCACAGTCCAGCACACGTATTTGTAAAATCTAAGTGACTCATACAACATGGAATTCATATAAAACAGAAAAATCAACAGTGTTATACAGGGGTCGACTGTACAACGAAACTTCTTAAGTTTAAAATTCCAGCTAATGGTGTATGCATGTGTGAGATGACAGGCTCTGTTTTGTAACTTTTACAGGAAGTCTGTTTGTGCTGTTTTGCATTTTGTGTTCTTGATATATTTAAGTATTTCAATTTTGACTACTACCACGTCATTGAAGTTTAACCATCTTCTGGATTTCAGATATTTCCACTGCAGTGTTCTTATGTTGTTTGGTGTTAAGAATAGGGCTGTTTCCCATCAAAAATCATCTTTGTGTATGTCTTCTATTCCTTCAATGAGGTTCTCATTGTCTGGATGTATGTTTCTGGTTTGACATGGGAAGAAGGCAGGGTGTACATTGATCTTAGTTCAGTAGCTTTTAATAGATGTTCTGGTAGTGAAATATTCTAACAAATCAGTTCACTCTGGTTTGCCTGTTTCTATCCTGTCCTTGAAACCACATGAACTATTGAAGTTTTTTGTGGTATTTTCTTCTAAGTGTACTGGAGACCAATTCTGCCAGTAGTACAACCCATACATTGATTTCTTGTAGCAATTTTGGGGCCTATTTATATAGGCTAAGTTATCTTCCAAAGAAAACTAGCTCATCTGATAACAAGTAGCTTTGTCTTCTAGCAATGCATATTGCCTTTGTGAGACACATCAATCTAATTCTTGTTGATAATAAGGTGCACTTCACAGGGCGGTGAATGTTGTAGATAGAAGTTAGAAATAGATTCTTGAACTTGCATTGTTTTAAAAAGATGTGCAGTATATTCAAATGACCAGCTTTTTGTAAACTTTGACTGGCATATGTGTTAATAATCTAGGCATAGTAATAAAATTAGATAAAAATGTTTTAATTCAATTTTTGGTTTGAGTGCTGTTTTTTATGGAATTGTACAACAATACTTCAGAAAATATTAGAAAATTTTAACTACTTAAAAACTGTGCTTTAAACCACAGATACTATATAGATAAAAAAGAAATCACGAGTGTTAACATATCAACAATCAACACAATGACCACTACTTAACTATATTTAACTTATAAGTAAATTTAAATTGAAATTGTATGCTATATAAAATAATAATTTAAAATTAAATATGTTATATATGAAATATAAAATAAGTACATATAAATTATTATTGATAATTGTTAATACATATATAATTATATCAAATGTAATAAAAATTTTAATTATTTTAGGAGAAATTGAAAATGGTGTTGAACATCTTAGTAATGCTGTAGCAGTATGTGGACAACCCCAGCAATTGCTTCAAGTATTACAGCAAACTCTTCCTCCACAAGTGTTCCATATGCTAATACAAAGATTACCAGCAATTAGTCAAGTAAATATTAATTATAATACTAGTTCTTATAGTAACTAAGAACATACAAATGAATTGAATTTTTATAACTAATGAGAATTTCTTGCCTAATTAGTATCACATTAAGATGTGATAACCTAGACCTAATACAGATGTGAAGTGAGATATGATGTTTTAATAAAAATGGAGTAATAGCAATAATAAATGTTCTGAATAAGATTAATTTCTATATTTCTTTTAGACAATACTTTCAACTATCATATTACTTCATTTGAAACAATGGAAAATGAATCTTTGACTATAATTATGTAAATATTTTTAACCTAATTTTTTTAAAGTTTACAATTCATTTGTTGCTGGAATAATATTAAATTATACATATTTTAAATAAAACTAATAAGAAATTAAACACACAATTGATTTATAATGATTGTAACATAATTTCTTATTTTTTATGTAGTGTTAAAAAATTAACTAATATATTAATTATGCTAATTGATATTTTTCTTATATACTTGATAAAATAACTTATATTGGATTAGATAAAAGAAAATTCTCTAATCTCTTAAATTTTTATTATGCTCATATTGCTTTAATACTTGTTTGTTTTTTATTATTATTTTATTTAGTGTATTGTATAAGAAAAATATTATAAAAGAAAGCAAATTATAGATTTATCAATGATTCATTGGATACAGTACTGATATTCAATAAAAGCTGGCAAGGGCTGCTGTTTGACTTTCCTGGCACTCAAAGAGGAGATTAATGGGACCATTAAGAAGTCTGATAATTTTCAATTATACTATAATATAAATTTAAATAGCAAAAATCTAAGAATAATAATTTTGTTGAATTATGAGAAATTTCTCTATTTAAAAAAACTAAGATACATTACATAAAATTAAAATTGCATGTAGTGTCACCTGTTCTGAGATTTTATTACAAAATCAATTTTTATATTATTAATCGTTATGAAAGGCAAAGATTTAATTCTCAGGGTAGAGATGAGTTTTAAAAAATTGTTAATGCCAATAACAAGTAAAATTTCATTCTGACTCCAATTAAGATATGACATGTCAACCCCTCTATCTCTCCACCTTCTTGAACTACCATCAAAATTTAATAGTATCAATACCCTATTTACCATACTATGCCAAGTTTCAAAATTTTTGGTTTATCCAGTTTAGATATAATGCAAAATAAATGACAAACACAATTTTGTAAGATTTTTTCTTCTGCATAAATAATGAACCAGGATCAAAATTTGACCAATCACTATACTTTCCCTGTTATATTCTGTAACAGCCAGGAAAGTAAAAATGAGTTTATTATATTATATAAGTATAAAAGACCATAAAAATATCATGATTAATAAATAGGTTGTATAATTGAAATAGATAAACTAAAGCAAATAATTCCAAATAATCAGAAATTGGTGTAACATGTAATGGAAAGTAAAGTACGTGAGAAACAAAATTATTGTAATGATGAAAATCTGATGACTGTATTATTATTACTTTTTTTTAATATTATGAAAGAGATTATTCAAAGAATTTGGAAATTTGAATTTAAACTTCTTATGAAATATGGAGAATTTTATTTTGTAATGCATTATTTATTCTGAAGAAATTTTGAAACCAAAATGAACTAAATATATATTAAATTAGAGCCGCCGCAAACTAGCGCTTTGCGAGAGCAAAACGCAAGCAAACGTGTGCTAGCACAACTGATGATATCAAAGACTCCTCCCCTTTGTTCTTGCCCCACGGTTTTTCCTTTGCTAGCGTAGCGATACGAGAGTATGCTCACTGTTGACAGAATTCAACAGCTAGAGCAGTCACGCTAACAAGAGAGAGCGGCGAAGATGGATGACTACATGAACATGTCACATTTCAAAAAAGAAATAATAGAATTTTATCGATGTACTGTACGTAAATTACATGATTAATACATTCAGTATTGAAAAGAAAATAGTATAAACGTTGTATATAAATAGTAATATATAAATAGTTTTCAGCTAGTTAAACCTAGTTAGGCTTAACTAGTAAACATGTTTTTCTCATGCTGTTTCAAAGTTCGGAATGAAAACTGACTGATTACAAGTATAGATTATAATAAAATCTTTGTTCTATAGCCAATCCACATCTGTGGAATCGAAGTCATGCGGATTACATTACATGAGCAAATGTTGTGTAGTTTGCAGCTGCTTCTTGCCCGCGTAGCTTACCTAGCAAAAATGGCTCATAGCCTCATGGGAAAAAAGGTGGGGCTTGGGAGCGTGACCGAGCATATGCTAGCTCTCGCATCCTGTGGTTTACAGCGGCTCTTAGATAACAGTTAAGATTAACTCCATTAGGCATATTGATTACATCCATCAATATTATTTTATCCATATATTTTTTTCTGTTGAGTTATATACCTGTCTCATAGTAGCTGTTAAGAGACTAATGACCTAGCTTCTGATACTCTCTAATTTATACATTGTTTTTAATTATTTATAATGTTGATGGCATCAATATATTGTGTATTTATGAGCTAATCACAAAGAAGAAAATATAGAGAAACAAGATTTTATAGAAAATATTGCCTGTAAACTGATAAAACTTTAGATTCTGATATTGATATCCCAAATATTCCTTCTGAAATATGAAGAAGGGCAAAATTTTTATTGGGAAATGAAGAACTTCAAAACATTACTCATGAAAAACTACATTGTATTCTGGGTTGATGTAATGAATGTAGTAAAACTCAATAAATCATCAAGAAAAAGTTTGGAAAATGTTCTGCAATAAGCATTCAAATAGAGCTTGAAATAAATATTTATAATAAGGGTGAAATGATAACTGTAATAAATTTCTTTACTTTTCTATTTTTCTGTTTCTTTATTTTTGCTGACAATTACTGAATACATGTAAGAAACATGTATAAATTTTCAGTTAAATAAAAAGTTCTATTTTTTGAAATTTATGAATTTTGGTATAGATTACAATAGTAATCCACACACCTATTTTTCTAACAGTAAATTACTAGAATAAAATTTTCATATAATAATTTATATTCAGTTAAATTGAAATTTTTTGTTTAATATTTATCATAGCCAGACAAAGCCATTCCTAAAATAATTTAGTTCATAAATGTTTCTGTAATATGTTTAAAATTAATATAGTTTAACAATAGAATATGATAACATTTTCAGAATTATATAAATTTGAAATGAGTAATATAGAATTATACGAATCTAACTATTGCAGTCATATAAGATTTACCTATATACTGTTACCTGTTTAAGTACCATCACTTTATTAAACTGGATATTTTAGGAAATGTCACTTAGATCCTTGTGCTCTATATTATTCAAATGTTAGCTTAATGCTTTTAACAAAAATTTAAATTTGAATTATATATATATAATAATCTACTTAAGGACAAATTGACTATAGGTATATGTCAGTAATACCAATAATTAACCAGTATTTACAAAAAAAATCAAATTTTTAATCAAAAGTTAAAATAATAATCTGAGATCTTTTGAGTTGGTTCTTTTAGATCAGGAGTGTCCAGCCTGCGGGCCACATGCGGCCCAATAAACATGTAAACAAAACCAACAAATGTTTTAATTTTTTTATTATGTATTTATTTCAACGGCATAAACTCAAAAAAGAAGTTTCATAAAGTTGTAAACCTTTATTCATATTTTATTTTTGAGTGGAAAGGAAATATTTTCAAATACTTGGATATATGTGAATGAGGAAAGATTACTAAATAAAGCTGGAGTTGTGACTCAAAGGATTATAGACCCAAATTTGGGAAAAGGAGGAAAGGTGAGAAAGGACAAAAGATAAAAAGTAGTGAGAAAGATTAAATAGACTTTCTGTTATGCAAATATTGACCCTTAATTTTTCAACTATTCTCACTTCTTTATCTTTTGTCTTTTCTCTCCTTTCTCTGCATTTGGATCTATAATAGCGAGGTTGAGGCCAAAGTTTTAAACGTGAAAACGTGTATGTCGGACATTCAGCGCTGCTTTCCTGTAAGCCTAGAAGTTTAAAAATGGTGTTTGGAGAGTCGGTGGAATCATGCTCGACATTCCAAACATCATTGTCAAACTTCTAAGCTTACAGGAAAGCGGTACTGAACGCCCAACGTACATGTTTTCGCGTTTAAAACTTCAGCCTCAACCTCGCTAATCCTTTGAGTCACAACTCCAGCTTTATTTAGTATTTCTTCCAACGTTGCAAGATTTGGCTACATTTGCACGAAATGTGGCTACTTTCTTTTTTTTTTTTTTTTTTTTTTTTTTTTTTTTTTTTTTTTTTTTTTTTTTTTTTTTTTTTTTTTTTTTTTTTTTTTTTTTTTTTTTTTTTTTTTTTTTTTTTTTTTTTTTTTTTTTTTTTTTTTTTTTTTTTTTTTTTTTTTTTTTTTTTTTTTTTTTTTTTTTTTTTTTTTTTTTTTTTTTTTTTTTTTTTTTTTTTTTTTTTTTTTTTTTTTTTTTTTTTTTTTTTTTTTTTTTTTTTTTTTTTTTTTTTTTTTTTTTTTTTTTTTTTTTTTTTTTTTTTTTTTTTTTTTTTTTTTTTTTTTTTTTTTTTTTTTTTTTTTTTTTTTTTTTTTTTTTTTTTTTTTTTTTTTTTTTTTTTTTTTTTTTTTTTTTTTTTTTTTTTTTTTTTTTTTTTTTTTTTTTTTTTTTTTTTTTTTTTTTTTTTTTTTTTTTTTTTTTTTTTTTTTTTTTTTTTTTTTTTTTTTTTNTTTGTGATAAAGATTTAATACTTATTATTATAATCTAGACATGTTAATCCTTAAATATACTTGTATATTGGTCCACAAGTATATATAATATATACTTGTGGCCCAAAACTCCTTGACTTCTTCCAATGCGGCCCAGAGAAACAAAAAGGTTGGACACCCCTGTTTTAGATAAACCTCTTTCCACTAGTTATATCAGGGCACTTACACCACACTGGACAGGAGTTTGTTTGGAAGTTCATAGGACTTCCAAATGAATACAGTAACTTTTGAACTGCTCTTCAAATGAACTGTTTCTTTTTTCTGAACTGTTTTTTTTTTTTTTTTCTGTTGCTTGTGTTGATGCTAATGACATGATGACTTTTAGTTATAAAGTCACATTTTCACAGTATTGACAGAAGTTATTGCTAAGATATTGCAATAATTCAAATTCTTTCTCTTCTCTCTATCTCCTCACCCTCCTCCTTCCCTTCCCCTCTTCCCTTCTTCCACTGGCTAAACATTTTGTGTATGGCCATTGTATTTTGTTTTAAAAAATAATTTTAAATGAATGAATAAAATTATTATTATTATTATTTATTTTTATTTTTTTTTTTAGTTAAAATTCAATTATTGTAGCCTCTTCAGTTTTTTATAAGGTGCCATTTTTATTTAAGAATTGTAAAATTAAGTGTTATGTATTGAGAACACTTTGAGAATATATATGCTTTTGGAACAAATTTTGTTGATTCTTTATTAATCTGTAATTACAGTCAAATCCTATTTTATACATTTTTTAAGGGTATTGAAAAAAATATATAAGTGAGAAAAAAAACAAATAAGTGAAACTACTTTTGAATTGCTTTCATAGTGAATGTAGTTATCACAAAAGTACTGTATGGTTCAAATTTAACACTGTACAACTGAACTGAATTTGTATGTGTAATTCTTAACAAAATAATATATAAAGGGAAAGTAAGACATTGTGAAATTAACTCATATGCTTTTAAACAAGCTTGGTCAAGCTGCTCTGATAGCATGCTCCACAAAAGCAAATCAAATATTAATTTTATTTAATATAAACTTTATAAATTCTAGGAATCAAGTAGTTGTTGCGCATGCACGAATGGATTGAACAGAACATAACACTTAGGTAACAAAATTGAAGTCATTGCGCATGCACATGGAAATCTCACAGACGGACAGCTTCGCTCAACGGACAAAAGTCCTAACACAAGCACTTCACCACTATAGTGGAACATGCTAAAATTCATAAAGTTTCTCTCCTTTCTCCAAACTCTAGTCACATGAAAGACTGAAGTCATTCTAAAGATTAACTCATACTGTACTGATAGTGAATAATGAAAAAGCTGGAAAATGATTCTATTCAATTATCAAAATTGGTTCATGCTGCAGAATGTGGAAATTTAAAATTTTCAACATGTTGGAGTGGAAGAGCAATTTGCTAAATGGGAAATTTCATTGGAAATGGTGTCATATTTCTTGTAAATAATTGTGGAGTCATAAAATTCATACCACTTATTCAAATAAGTCAAACATTGTTGCTCCAAGTATTTTTCTGCATGTTCTTTAAAAGTATTTTGATCACTAACTGTCAACTTCTTCAGACATTGCATTGCTGACTGTAAAACTTATTGTTCTTTCAGTTAGTAATTTTGTTTTGCAATTCTGTCATAGTCATCTGTAGTTCAGTGCACGTAATATAGTCACTTTCCAGTTTTTTTATAGAAACATCAAAAATTTGCATTATGTTGTGAATAAAATGGCAGAAGCAGTTCTCATCTTTAAAGGCCCTCCAAATTATTGCTGTACAATTCATCATCACCTTCATTAAGAAAATATTCTCTCAATGCCAGCCAATTCAAAAGAATTCTTTCTAAAGCTGGAAGCAAAGAGAGCCATCGTATTGGCACATGGCAGAGAATAGGTTTGTACTCTAAATGAGCGAAATCAAAGAATTCTTTAAATTTCAGTTTGTTTGGCAAACGTGGAAAAGTCACTGCAAACTTTCAATACAAACGATTCCATATCAAACTGCAATGTTTTTAATGCATATTTGTCACAATTATGTAAAATGTGGCACTTACAATTCACCTTCAAAATATTTGGATTTTCAGTCTTAAGTTTTTGAAAAACTGAGTTATGATTTCTATAGTTAACTGAAGCATTACCATAGATAGTGAAGGTACCGATTCCCATGATGACCCATTTTCCTGTAAAACTTTACAGAGCTGTGTTTTGATCGCTTCACTAGTTTCAGCAGCGTTTTGATAAAAGTCAAATAATCCTTATTTCAAACCATCTTTAACTGAAAACCATTGCATCGTAACTGGAAACATTTTAAAATTTCCTTTGTTAGAAGAATCTGTGCCAACAGAAAAATATGTTGAATCATGCAATTCAGATAGCAGTATTTCTTGCGATAGTGGGGCTATGACATTTTCACAAATAGCTGTAGCTTTAGTTTGGCCACACACTATTTTCTTTGCAACCTCTTAGTCAGGAAATAATGTAGGAAACAACTTATTTGAACAATCTTTGTTTGAGTAGCTGTGATGATGTTTAATTCCATGATACACAGATGTAACTTCTGTGGCAGTTATTTGATCTTCATGTCATGAATGTTTTTTGCAAAGAAACTAGAAATTGATGCCACAGAATACTTGTTTTTGAAAAATAACTTACATTTTTTATATTTTGAATGCACAATCGGAGCTCTTTTACCTTCATATTTAACTGAAATATCGGTCCTGCATAATTTACATTCAGCAGTAAAATTGTCTTGTTTTCTAAGCCGTGTACTAAACAGAGGATCATTCAATCAGTTTTCATCAAAGCTTGTACTATATTTGATTTTTTTTTTTTTTTTCAGTGGTGTCATTTGCATTGAGCTTTCCGAATCCGACATTATGCTATTTATGCTGTATAAATACCAAAGCAACAACAACAATACTTGCATACCTACTTACAGCGTTTACAAATATAAGTAATTATGTATTAAATTAAAATAGTTTGTGTTTTCATCTTCTGTCTCAGTCTAGCCACCAATTATGCAAATAATGATGCATGGTGGGAGAAAGCCAGGTGCGGGCAAGTGATTGGACACGTGTTGACTTGACTGACATGAAAACAGTAGTAGCTAGCAGCTATAGTGACTTGGGCTCTGGCTCAGTAGCAGCATCTGTTGGTGCAGTGGCTGTATCGATGGAGAGCAGCTGCTGAGCCAGAGCCCAAGTCACTAGCTGCTATGTCATTTTGTATGTTTTGAATGTTGGGGGAAGTAGCAGATCCAATTTTTTTTCAGTGTGAACAGCATGAAATTCCAGGAGATTTTAATAGTGTTCCTGGAGTCAGGAGACTTTAAAACTAAGAGTTTTTTTCCAGGAGAGTTGTCAACCCTACAAATGACACATGCAGAAAATGTCACATCATTCCAGAAACTATACAACATATCACTTCTGGTTGCAAGCTCTTGGCACAGATTATTTACATAGACCTAATCAAGTAGCAAATATAATATACCAAGAGCTTGCAAAGAAACACAAATGTTTAGACATCCATGAACCATACTACAAATACATTCCACAGACAGTATTGGAAAACAACAAGCACAAAATGTACTATGACAAAGCCATAATCACAGATAAAACAATTTCCCACAACAGACCAGACATCACACTCATTGACAAACACAATAAAATCACATACTTTATAGACATATCTGTTCCAAATACACACAATGTACAAACACATACACTGAAAAAAATCAGCAAGAACACAGAATGCACCCAGGAAATAAGGCATCTGTGTAGGATGGATAGGGTGCTTATTGTATCTGTCATTCACTCCTCTATGTGTGTCATACCACACACACTACACAAAAGCCTGGGAACATTACAGTTGAATAGAAACACATACATCACACTACAGAAGGCCACCATATTGAATACATGTCATATTGTTATGAAAATTCCTGAATGCAGACACACTTTTTTAATTTTTGTTTTGTTTTGGTTACTATGCCTTGATTCTGGTCCGGCAGAGTTCACAGCCACTAGTGTTAATCGAGTTTAACTCACAAAACTCAACATGATAATATTATTCAAAGATAATAGTTTTAAAATATAAATGTATGATTATTTGTTTATTTTGATGGTTGTATATTTTTGATATACAACAGTAGTATTAATTTTTTTTACAGTTTATTAATATACAAAAAAAATTTTGCAATATTAATTGAACACAGTAATTTGTGTATTGTAAATTTAGCAAAAAATCAAATAATTTCTGATTTTGAAGATAATGTAAAAAATATTATATTTAAATGTGCACAGACAATTTAGATCTGTTGTTAAATGATATTGCTCAGAAATTTAATTCAATAAAATTTTATATACAAGTCATGTATTTTTTTTTACTTACAGCGTTTGAACAGTAATTCTTTGGTTGAAGATGATGTTGAATAGCCAGATTTCTTTACAGATACAAACATGTTATTATATGTAAAATTTTATGAATTTGCCATTGTCTTTATTATTAAAACAGTGTAGTATATTAAAATATTTGAAAATAACTAATTTCTGTCTAAATAAGATAAAATACTTTATATTACAATTAATGCATAAAAGTTTTTAAAAATATATATAATCATTATTAAAAGTACCTTTTTAAGATTAGTCATTATGAAAGAAATACTGTAAATTCTCATTAAAATAAATATTAATGATAAAATTCTCAATAATCATTTTTCTTTGTTGTCTTAGATATTATATTTATATATTAACATTTAAAAATTTTTACATATTATGGAGTTATATTTCTCTTCTTAGATAAGACTAAATTCTGTATTTTCTTGATTCTAAGATTTACTATGAATTGGAAATTTAATTTTAATATTTTTTTTTATGAAGGAAAATTTTTTAAAATAATTGAGTTAAATTTCATAAATGTTAAAAAAACAATAGAAATGTCACAAAATAGGTAATGTTCAATGACTTTATTTCCATCTCTTAGTGATCAATAGGATGACTATCATGTCAAAATACTGTATAATAAAATAAAATGGAGAAGACACTGAGGTCGGCGTTACGTGTACGTTTTCTTATCGCAAGACTTTCGACGAACTTATAGTTGTCATCATTCGCACGAAGCAAATATTCGCTTAGTGAATATTTGCTTTGTGTTCTTAACGGCTTTGACAAAACTTTCAACCTAAAATTTTATGCGTTCTATTCTACATCAGATTATTTCCGTTTAATTTTTCGGTAATTCTCTGTATTCACCTGATTGTGAGGTCAGCCGATTAGGGGTGAGGTGTTCGACAGCCGAGCGGTTCTTTCAGTCGTGTGGGCGCAAACTGACTGCCTGAGACAGGTTTACCATGTAACCGTTTATTAAACATAGAAATTTTCCTTACAGATTACTTGTTAGACGAGGTAGCACCCCAAAGCGCACGGATAAAGTTCGAAATAAAGTTCGTAAAAGTTGGTTTTCGTCACTAGTGGATGGACGCTGTCGGTGAAACACTCGGTGGGCCCCGGGGCGTTGATTACGGCTTTCGGCGGCTTCTCGCGGACGAACCGACGAATCTGTCGATTGCTAGGAGCACCCAGAGAACGATGCTTCCACGATGTTCCAAAATGTCCTTTTTTTTCTAAGATCTGGAGCACGACCGTCCATGAGACGACACACTACGTATCCAAACACCAAGAACCAAAAACTACAAACCAAGAACCTTCGTCTCTTGAGTCGCACAAATTTATAGATTTTTTTACAGCAGTCGCCTCTCCATTGGTCTCTCATTGTCACCTGGTGACAATTCGAAACCTAATGGAGGGCGCGGGAGAGGTTAACATAGCGACTGAATATGATCCTCTCTCTCGTCGCGTTTTCCTCGAATTTCTCCGTTTCCATTGTTTAACTAATTTTCCGAAAAAAACCAATTGCATTGTTCAATCGAGACACCTAATCCGTTTCCTTATCGTCTGAAAAGGAGCTCGTTATTTTCAATCGAACCCATAATTCGGACCTCTCAGTCGACCCCTGTTCGGGTCCTCACATGATGACGATGACTATAAGTTCGTCGAAAGTGCTTGCAATAAGAAAACGTACATGTAACGCTGACCTCAGTGTCTTCTCCATTTTATTTTATTAGACTTTATATCCATGCTTTAATACATATACAACAACCTTTCTATGAATGCCGTATTGTAATGTTATCTTGAAAGTATTTTAAACAGTAAAAAAGAACTTTAAATTAAATGCTCATTACTAGAAAAGTTCATTTGTATTGATATGACTATTGAACAATAGCCAAAAACATCTGTTATTAGTGATAATGTATCACTTAGCCCATTTGCAATTACTTCTGATTGTTGTTTTGGCCTGAGATTGTATGCTGTTAATTCGAAGACATGTAATTAAACCATAACTGAATGAAACAATAAAACCCAATCACCATAAAACTCCAGTACAGCAAATTTATTTGCAATAACCATTTTCAATAATAATTAAAAGCTTTAATAAGGTAGTTCTAAAAGAACCTCGGATACATTGAGAATGCAGAAAAAAGAATGGAGATTTTAAAATATAGGATATTAGCAAATTTCAAACAAATACAACGTTCAAAAAATTTGTTGCAAGTCAAAAGCAAATTACAATAAAAGTAAACAAACATTGGTGATTAGGAGATCTCTTTGAACAATCTCCGAGTATTGGAAATGCTTTCAACATCTTTTGTATTTATAAATTTAGAGTAGAACAAGTAAAACTGTAAAAATAAAAATATTTTGGCTTTAGATACGCCGATTAGAAAAATCGTTATAAAAAGTTTTAATTGGCATAAATATGAGCTTTAGTTGTTGATAACATTTTGAATGAAAATCATTTGTTTTTATGCAATTTTATCTTTACAAGCATAAAAACCATAAAAGGAAATAGCTTTGAGGTACCCCCGTGAACTTTGACCTATCGACCCAGAATTTTCGCGAGCACCTCACTGATAACGAGAAAGGCTTAAGTTTAAATTTTGAGCTTTCTAGACCCAGCAGCTTTTCACTGCGAGCGTCTGCAGTGCCGGAAGAAGAAAATACAGCTTTTTGGCGATTTTTGCACATTTCAATTGCTTCTACAGTATTTCGACAACCCCTTTATAGTAAATCGAATTTTTGCACACTGCCTAAGAAAAGTATTTTTCGAACGAGATATTCGGAGTTACTTTAGTTGTTTGAGACAGAGAAATCAACCCCCGAAAATCGGCAACTCTGAATCCGCACCAAGTGAAAAAGTCTGTCAATGACTTTTTCACTTGGCGCGGAGTCACTGCGTGACACTCGATTTAATTTAAAAAATAACTTATTCTATAGGGGAGAGGAGGGAAAGAGTACGCACCCTTCTTATTATTTTTTTATTTCTCAGGTGTTTATTGTTTCATCAGAATACGTTTTTGTCTGAATATATACGATTTATACATCTTTCCATTTGGTCATGTTAGAAAGAAAAAACAAGTATAGTTTTGACAAGAAATTAAAAGAAGGTGATTGCAATGTGTACTGTTACCCTGTGTTGGAGGTTAAGAGTACGCATTAATAGCAATCACAAATAAAACCACCTGTGCCTTCATAGTCTGAACACTGCGACAGCCGGATGGCCGAGCGGTCAAGGTGGCAGCCTACCGCTTCGACTGAAATAATTAAATCCTAAATATGCGGCCGGATGGCCGAGCGGTCAAGGTGGCAGCCTACTGTTCTGGGAGACTCGGGATCGAATCCGGATAGGTCGAAAATTCCTCAGGAATTTATTCAAAAGTTCGTCGAAAGGTTCTCAGGAATCCTTAGGAATTTTTCTGGGAATGGTCCGTTCGGAAATGTCGAGCCCCGTCCCTCACCACCCGGCCGTCCCATTGTGGGCCTGGCCGAACTCGTAATGGGCTTGCAAAAAGAGGCTTTCCTAGTGCGCACAGGGTGGAAAGAGTTAAAAAAAAAAAGTACGAACACTGTTCGTGCCACCACCGTGTCCACATTTGACCCAGTCACCATCGAAAGATTGTTCGCAGTCAGGACAGAAAACCCCTTCATTATTAGGCTTATCAACTCGCAAAGTGGAAGCTTGCTGGTCTTTTTTTGCGCCAATTCTATTTTCACCTTTTTTATTTTTCAGTTTTCTCCTTTTCCTTCTGCTCTAAGATGTTCCTGAAAGAATTTCTGACTTGAGTACTGTCCGGCACTGCTGAGTACTCTTACCCTCCGAAACAAAATTCCATAAACTTGCCGATAGAGTGCAACTCCAGCCAGACACCGACACGAAAGCTACCCCATACTTTAGCTTCGATCTTTATCCCTTCAGGCACTTTGCTTTCACAATTCAAGCTATAAAACTGAGAAAGATTGTAACCTGAGTTTGCAAAGTTACTTCCGGAAATACAAAAATGTTTACTAAACTATTAATGTCCTGGTGACTCACAGACAAAGAAAAGTTGGCTCTGACACACTTTGCCATCAACAGTAAAATGTGTGCACGGGAAACTCTTCTGTTAGTGTTACCAAATTTGAGAAAAGCAATGCGAATTCTTAACCGCCCTCCCCTACTTATTGATAATACGCTTTATTGTAAAATTTTTGTTTATGCTATGTGAAATGATATGAGTATTGATAGTAAATTATTTAAACAAAGTTGACAAGAAAATACTTTATAACTATCATAATCAGTTATTTTCAAAATGAACTTTTAAATCAAAGATAACTGTTAAGATTTATAAAATTTTATCATTTTATTTTTAATAACAAAGTTCAAGTAGATAAGTTATATCAATATTTATCGTTGTTTTGTTTTTTATTCTATTAGTATTGTTTAAAATAAGATTAACTCAAACTTGTATGGTTGCTTATGATGAACAGATTGATAAAAATCTATTCTGGAATAGCGAACATTTTTATTTAATTGAATACTTCGTGGAAAATATGGTGGTTAAACCAGACATTGGTTTATTATTATTAAAGTTAATAAAGATTTATTTTAAATATTAGACAATTTAAATTAACAGATATCAAAAGATCGCCATCATTTCTTATATTGTAAAATTGCTTATTTTCAATATGAAAATAGAAAGTTTTTAAATTGCAAGCATTTTATAAATAGGACCACTTATCTTGAAAAAATGTCAAAGTTACTTAGGCTTACTTAAGGTTATAAATTACATAAAAACTTTACAGGTATCTAATGTATCTAATACAAGGCCGGCAGTAACAGATCCGGCTATTGCAGGACTGATTTTTGCTGCCAATGTAAAAAATAATTCTAACTTAACCGGTATCGGCACCCTCGGGATTTGGCATGCATGCACGTACTGAACACCTACCAAGATCGTCTCTGATTCCATCCATGAGCCACTCGTAGGAAGCAATTTTAGCTAAATGGATTGTTTTACTATTTAAAAAGTAAAGAATATTTTATGTTACTTTTATGTACTTTTCTTCACAAAATTATATTTAATTATATTTTTCTTTAAAAGTATATTCATACAATTGAAGAATATTTTG